CAACCCGCTATACGTTATCATTTTCTTTATATTTCCCCCCCATGTTGCACGTTCTCAAACCGTCAACTGCGTAGTTGCGAATGAGAGCAAGCCTCAACCCACTGTTGATTATCCCGTCGTGGATCTCTCTTCGATGCGGATGTCTACTTGAGTGCCAATTTGGCCCGTAATGAAAAACTCCCTGTTCGCATCAGTGTAGTCACAAAGGATGAAATCCTTGTCGATTCCTTGAGGTGCCGTAAAGGCCGCAACAGGAGAGAATGCAGGGGCTTGCGAGGGATTGATAACATCCGATATTGTGAGTACAACAAGGACAAAAGCGGGGGATTTGCGCTGGAGCTACGGGCACTAATACTGTGCCAACGGCAGCTCGAAGCCACCCAGTGAAACCCGACAGAAACTGGGTAGCGATTCAGCTGATTATCTGAGATGGACTGAATACAATGGGACAGTCTTGTTGTCCTCTGTATAATTTGGGTATACAGGAGACATTTCATCACACTTTCGAGTACATCGAGGATGCTGGTACCACTCCTAACTACTGCCAATTGCTGCAGAAGGCTGTTAAGGCGGGATTGGCAGCCTTCCAGTAAGGAAATGTCGTAGTCAGCCTCACTACAGAAAAGTCCCATAGCTCTTCTCTGTATAGCTAAACGCGATGATGATACACACCCGACAGCTAACCAGCCTAGCCGACTTCTCTCCACCCAACACATCACTTTTGCTTGTGCTGTATTATGTTAACATTTGTTCCAGCAAAAAACATACCCTCAGAAAGAAACCGAGTGGCAAACAATCTGGAACAAAGTCGACAGTTCCAATTTGGCATATCTTCTCGGATCTGAGAGCACTAGAATCGGCTGCGTTATTGGAAGGTGTGTCGCACTAACAAATGGGACTGATCCGCAACCAAATCAAACAGACAGGAGCGATCCACAAGGGCCAACTGAAACTGTAACAAATGAGGCTTTGCTTTTCTGTAAACTAAGCACTGTAACGACGAAGGATGCAGCCCCCTTTAAGAAAGTAAGTATTGGGTTTCGGAGCGCAGCCCCCAGGAAGGGTTGGCAAAGTTGTCTAGAAGCAATAACCAACAAAGCTGGTGATGTGCTTTTTGACGCCGTGCGTTTGTCTGCTTCATTTTCTTTCCTGCAGTGAGGAATATTTCAAAGGACTTATTGCACGAACAACTGCATTGAAAGACATGACAGCAGACGACCTGCAGACTCCTGTTGGAGGTGGCGCGCAGGCAGCTGCCGTCCCTACCATTCTAATTGCAGGTTTGGTTGCTATGCTGACATTCGTCTCTGCCTGGAAAGGCAAACTTCCGTTAGCTGCCTAGATAGCCACCCCGTTTCCTTGTCAGCTAGTCTGCAGAGCACTTTGTCAACCAATCCACGCTTGTTAGCTTCAGGCTGTGAAGCTTCCATTGCTGGATGGACAGCCAAACTGTAACTGTTCCAAGCAACAGACCCGAGGCAGTGAAAGGTAACAAAGACATTGAGGAAAGTCAGAGTCTAGGCTTTACACACCGAGTCCTTCCCCCCTCATACGGCGGTTGCAGTTTTTTATCCAACTTGCACCGAACGGCGAACTCGACAATGAACTTAACAATCGGAGGCTAGCTCACTGTCTAGCTTCTCTATGCAGAGGCAAATGCGACTATAGCAGTTAAGCCTGCTACAAGAAGGGAGGGTACGGCGGCAACTGCAGCGCCCTGGACAGGAGCTTTGAGGTCCTCCTCAGTCATTGCTGTCAGTAATGTTTTTCGTTCTTTGAGCGCTTCGTAATACTCCTTGCTGCAACACAAAACCAGGACATGAGAAAGCATACAGTCTAGTTCAAAGGCGATGCATTGTAGACCTGTCTTCCTGAGAAGAAACCGCCCACTTGAGACTTACTCGAAAGGAGCCTTGTTCTCCTCCGCTGGAGGGTCCATCTGACAAAAAAGATATGCGCTTTCTGTTATATTTCGGTTTTCCTGTGTGCCTTCAGTGCATATTCCAACGGCACAGCCAACTTTGGTACTGTTAGACCAGAGGAGGCTTGCGAGGTTGGCGCCCTCGGGTATCGTCCAGAACTCCTGCCAATTATCAGGATACGATTTCATATTCCTGAGGGAAGTGCAGCAATTGGCGCAACAAATACAGACAGAAATCAACATTTATAGCCGAGCGAATCGACGATGATGATGTGATGTGTGTGCGGTGTGCACGGGGCGGTTGGCAAGTAGAGTTGCTATTGCGAAGACCTGTTTGCCCTGTACTCTTCTTTTCCAAGCATAATGCAAATGCTGTTAAAGCTAAAGAGCGTACAAGAATAGGGCATATGCGTACACTATTTTACATCTATTACTTCTTATACTAGATTGTTTGTTTCCTCTTGTGTTAGTATCATCCTACAAGATATGTCAAACTCACGAAAGTCCAGCAGTCAGGGCCCCCTGCACCGATTGGCGATAGTTCCTGTCTTCAGCTGTTGTGAACTGTACGACAAATTCCTTCTTCTTCCTCTGAAAGTTCAACAATAAAACGCAAGAAGGCAAATGGCTTTCAGGCTTTTCTGCTTAGGGGGAAGTCCAGAACCGTCTAAAGCCCCACTTATGTCATCAAGCGAATCTTCTAAGGA